AAGTGAAAGAAGGGGGGGGGGGGGGGGGGGGAAGAGAGTTAAAGCCCCGGCCTGTGGGGAGTAGTGCTGTGTTACTGCATTGCATTGCCCCGCACTACACGGCATTACACTGCACTCGGACATCGCACGGCGCTGCATTGCATGACACTGCAGGGCGGGGTGAGTGAGTGAGTGCAGTGCGCGCAGGGGCTCGTTGCACCCTGCCGGGGGCGGTGAACAGCGCAGCGGGCGCGGGGGTCCGCTGAGACCCGCCCGGGGCGGGGGTGCACGGGCAGGGCGGGGACTTCCCCCCCCCCACCCTTCCCTTCCTCCCGGCGCTTAGAGACACTGTTTGTTTGGGCCGGCCCCGGGGGAGGAGCCGGCCGGGGTGGGGGCTGTTTTGCTCCTCTCGGCAGGCGCGCGCACGTGTGTACGCGCAGGAGTGCTGACGAAACGGGATACGTCGCCAGAGGGTCTGAAGCTTCCCTCACAGCATTGGTTGTTGGCGGCAGGCCGGGCTGTGCCCGTGCTGAGATCAAAGCCGGGGGTTCCTGGCGGCAGCGGCTTCCCCTCGGCTCCGGGTCGGACCCAGCACCAGATTTGGACCTGGAAGGAGTTTTACTGCGTGGTCGGATCAAATGGACTTGGGGGGGAGAGCAGGGGTTGCCTTCCTCTGTAGTGGCCTGGGATCTCTTGAGTGTCTGTTGCTAATAGGGCATAGAAGCTGGATATTGGCTGCCCTGGTTCCCCTGCTTTACCCGTGATGGGTGAGGGAGCGGGGTCTGTGTGGTGTCAGGGTTGACAATAGTTTTATGCAGAGTTTAGCTTACCGGCTAGTTTGGATAAGGATGCTCCTGCCTCAGGGAGGGGGTTGGACTAGATGCCCTCTGGAGGTCCCTTCCTGCCCTGCTTTTCTATGGGCACCTATACAGGAGCAAGCAAGGCTGTTCCAACACAATGGAGCAGACTTGATTAATGGTAATTGCCACGCTCCAGCAGCCTCCCGCCTCCCATGTATCAGTGTCCCTGCACTTCGTGCCCCTGCCATCATTTTGAAGCATGGGAATGCTGATGCACAAGGGACTCCGGGCACTTTAATTAGAGCCGCTCTAATTAAAGCACTGCTGCTCTTGGAGAACGTGCATAAACGCCCTATGATACTGTATCCTCGCCAGAGTGAACAGCCGTGACACCCTAAGAAGGAACACAGTCGACTTCACCCCAAGCCAAACAATAGTAACAACTCAGCCAGCACCTGAAATCTCAACAGGCAGGCCCATGGGGAGAAATAAGCCAGCGAGACTGCTGCAGAAATCCAGACGGAGCTGTTGAGTGCAAAGCTGAGGTTGACTCTTGGCACATACAGAAATGCGCTCCCTGGGGCTTTAAACAAGGGGCAGAAACTGTGATACAAAGCACTCTGAATCAAAGGAGAGACGGAGCAGATGTTTTTCTCTTCAGGCTCCAAAACATAAGTCAGTACAAGAGAGATTCCTTGAATTCATCAGAAGTAATTTTTTCCGTCAAAAAACTTGGCAAGGAAAAGCTGGCTGTGCAGCCTCTTACTGAATCACGAGCACACGCATGAGGAATTGATGACAGGGTTGCAGTCTGTATTTTCTCACAAATACCTGGTAGGTGATTCTTTCACAGACCTTGTCTGTTTTTACCTGCCTCTGACAGCCAGTCACAGCTGCTACGACACTGCAGTGCCATGTGCACAATCTTTGCTTTTCTTGGCAGAGGGGATTCTACCAACAGACAAGAGGGTTCATTGGTCACAGAGGAGATGAAAAAGTTGTCAGTGACTGTGCTGGCAAGTCAAATTGTTTTCTGTTTCTCACAGATGCACCTGTGTATGTGTGCGCTGTGGGAACTGATATTAGGTGGAATTAGGCTTTGGTCTCTTTTTAGTACACAGGTATCCACTGCTAAAACACCTTACCAGAAACCCTTTAGTGTCTGAAAAGTCCAAAGATTGAATAGATACATGAATTAGATTCTTTCACGCCATGTAGTTGTGGGGCAAGATAGCATAATGCTACTGTCTGTTCAGATCTCTCTTGGTGCGCTGACAGCTTCAAATCTTCTAGTCTGCCATGTGCCTCTTGATGAGAACTAAATGAATTATAACTATATCGAATAATTCAAATAAGTACAAACTGCGTACATGCTCTATCCTTAATATGTAGGACTCAACATTTTTCTGTAGAACATGCTGCATGCTATGACTTTTTAAAGGCAAAACCATTTTATCATGCTGTTCTCAGGTATCCAGTATTTGGAAGATAGCTCCATGTAGGGATCTTCATACTTATTTAAGTCTCAAAAAAGTGGTGTGCTGTTGTGGTGCAATTCCTGAAAATGAGACTCGCCCCTTATTGTCTCTAGAATAAATATATACCCTTTAGCCTCTTTCCATACAAGTGTATTTGAAGTGTGGGTATTTTTTGTGAAGATATTTGTGAATACCTTTGATCAAGAAAGTGGGAGTGCATTTCTACAGTAGCTTATATGATTCCATTTATTTGCAGTTTTAGTAGGTTACAAGGCTAGATTTCAAGGCTAGAAGGGATGTTATGATCATCTAGTTTCTTTTTGCATAACAGGCCACAAAACATGTATATCAAGCCCACAATTAAAATATTTGAAGAGACCTTTCATAACATGAACTTGTGACCTCCCCACTCCTAGCAACAATTCTACCGTTATTTCAGAAAACTGCAGCACTACACTGGCAATTGTTCCTCTGATATGCCTCTCTCTTTTAAGAAACTCAACTGAATAAGACACTCCGCTGAACATAATTATCTCCTTAGGAGGAGGATGAGAAGAAACTTCTGACACAGATATGAGTCATCTTGCTTAATGCGTTAATGGAAGTTGCCTTGGTATTGTCAAATGAGCTTAGTATGAGGGGCTGTATAGAATGAGCTGGCAAATTTAAAATCAAGTTTATTTAGTGGATAGGCAGTCGCGTTCAAAACTACAGCAAACTGACATGTTGGTACTCTCAGCGGTGAGGGTTGACTGGGTATAGAAAACAAATTGGTCATTATCACCCCCTCCCCCCCACTGTCCTAATCCCTCTCTCCCCCAACTGATAGGCCTCTTCAGGCTAGGCAGTTAAAAGGCTGGAAGAAATTTGCACACCATAGCTATACTTGCTTGGTTATGAATGAAGTTCATTACCTTTCTTGATCCATTAGGCACTGGCCCTAGGTTTGCAAACGTAGAGCTGCATTCATCTTGAGAAGAACTGAGGAAGAACATTTTAAGACAAAATGCTACGAGGTAGCATCTCATTAAAAGCTTCTAACTATGACCATTGTGTATCCCATGGCACTTTACGCCAGGATAGGTATACTAATGTTGCTGCTTAAACCACATTCCATTTTGAGTAATTATACTGTAACTGTTTAATTCCATCTGTGGTGTTAATTAGATGAATAATCTTCATTTCCTGTTCTAAGTTTTTTGTGGGGGTTTTTTTTGGTTTTGTTTGTTTTTGTTTGTGTGGGGTTTTTTTACAATGTATAGCAAGAGCATACAGATGCCATGCTCTTTCCTAGATGTAACTTAATTTATTTCAAGAGGGAAGCAATTCTACTCTTAAGCTTTTTGGGAAACAGGATGGTTCTTGGATTGCATGTTACTACTGTAATTGGTAACATTAGGTTTTTACTAATTTTTTTTTTTGCTTTTCTTTTCTTAGGGGAAGACTACACAACTCAACGTAGTAGTTCTTATTTGGTGGCTTGCTGCTGTAGGTAGGTGTCATGGATTCACCCCAAAATGGATGCAGATTTGTACTCTGGTAAACATGTACTGGGGGTACAAACTTAGTGGCATAATGTGGGTCCCCCTAGAGAGGAAGGGATGATGTATGTTAATAGCCAGACAGGCAATGGTACTTAAGCCTGCCTAGAGAACACAGCTTTGTCTTCAGTCTTCCTGGCTGCAGGGTGAGGGACTGAGGTACCTCTGCCAAGGAGGCTGAGAACAATAAGCTGACAGGGAGATACAGGAGGCCCTGGCAAGTTCAGTGGCATAGTCTACTGTCTAACCTGGGAAGCTGGTTAAAGATTGCATCCTTGGATTTAAGGTCCAGGATAAGAACAAGTTATTCTGATGTTTTCTTTCGATTTCTTATGCTTGTCTTTTTATTTATTTTTATATATAAATAAAAGACAAGCATAAGAAAGCATATATAAAAATAAATCCATTTTGTTTCCGGTCTACAAGCCACTTGTTGCCAGTGATACTTGTGGCTCCATAGTGTCTGACCATTTAGACTTGCTTGCCTTATTCCATGGAAAGAGGGATCCATTTTTTTGAGCATGCGACTGGAGAAGGATATAATCCTTCTAGAGGGCAAAATCCACTCTCCTAAGGGCTGACAGGGCTGAGGCAACACAGGCCTCTGGCACTTCTCAACTGGCTTTCCATGGTAAAGTAGCAGACAAGAGAAAGGGGAAAAAGGAGTTTTGGGGGCAGAAAGGCAGCACAAGATGTGGAAGCACCCCAGGTGCATGTCTCAAGGGCACACTCAGGCCACAGCTGGGGCCAGAACACCAGTGCAGTGGGTCCTTTTGAGTGTCAAGGGCCATGAAACGATTTAAAAGGGTGTATTATTTCCCCCACATCCCCACAGCTCTTGCCCCTGCTCCCAAATATGATTGGTCCCCGTAGCTACAGTCACTTTGCAGAAGAAAAGCAGTAGCTAAAGTGTCGTCTCCTGGGCAGTTATAGAAATAAAATTACTCTCAGATGGTTAATTCCATAGAAATAAGCAAGTAGAAGCGGTAGTGTTATAAGGAATACCTCTAAAGAGTGCGAGAACTTTGTTTTTGATACTTCTGACAACACAATGACTTTGTACCAACTGGTAGTGTGTGGTACTTTCTGTCTTTATTTAGACTTTTGTATGCATTTTTGAAGTCTATAAGATGTACCTCAAAGAATTATACAACAGAAACCCAGGTATAAAACATCCTGGAAAAACTGGCTAATTGTTTATGTTAAGACATGCACAGTCCTATATATTTTTAATTAACTTTTCATAATCAACTAAAGTTGAGGGCTGGTAGTGTTCCTGTTTTTGCAATGTAGCCTACAATATCCATAATGGTAACTAATCAAAACATTTTTGGGGAGATATTTTAGGAAATATATATTTGTCTTTATAGGCTTTGCCTAGTATATCAAGTGAATCAAAATGCCTCTCAGTGATGACCAGATCAGTGATTCAGATTCTTCAAGATTGTCTGAGAGCACAGCTTCTTCCAGTGACTCTGAATTTTCAAGGCAGAGTTTTACCAGTGATTCTTCAAGCAAACCCAGCTCTCCTGCCTGTAAGCAGATTTAAACAAAACCTGCAAAGTGCATGTAGATCCATTGGGCTAACTCTCTTCTCTTGTTTCTTTGGTGTCCTTGGTTGTTGAAGTAGGACCTGGATTTCCCTATTAATATTAGAAGGGCACAGCTTGCTTGAGGTGACCATTGCTGTGTCAAAGGTATGGAATACAGCCAGGAGGTCTGAGCAGATCCTCTGCTTGGGCACACATGCAGCAAGTGTGATTCCTTCCACCTGAAAGAGCAAGCAAAGTGTACCAGGCAGAGCATTATTGTATTGAGTAATTCTGGTTTTGACTTATAGGTCACACTGTAGTGCTGTTCTGTTAATTTCCCAAATGTGATCTCATGTAAAGAGCAGCAGTGCCTCCATTCACACCTTAAATTTCAGAATTATGAAGCTAAATGCATAGAGTATGACATTCCTTTAACTATGCATTAAGAATTCAAAGTACAGAGGTGGAGAAAGGCAAGTTATTCTGAGTGATTACACAGGTAAATACTACTGTGTTTAAAAATTGACAAAAAAAACCTTAATCATGGAGTGCTGTACTGACCCTAACTAATCTCTTAATCTTGGGGTAAAACATGTGGATCTCAGGCTGGATCCAGCTCAAAATCCCAGATCATCTGGCCTGCAGCCTTCATGCAGCACTGAGGAACCTACCTATGGCTATATCCAAGTACTTGGGCTGCAGCCACAGTGATGGAAGTCCAATAGCACTGGGGGGGAGGAGCCCGGCACTACAGCTTGTTCCCAGGGCAGCAGTCAACCTCCTGGGCATGAGCTACAATGCTGGAACCCCAGCAGCAGTGGAGGAAGGAGCCCAACACCATGACTAGTTCCTATGGTGGCAGCCACATGCCCAGGATGATGGGCTTCTTCCTGCCAGGTCCTGAACCAGAAGGGTGGGGGCAATCCATGAGCCTGATCTGGCCTGCAAGGCTGGTCCCACACCATTCCTCTGGTCCATGGACCAATCCTGCACCACTCATCTGGCCCCTGCCTTCTTCAGTAAGGCATGATTATGAGGCCAAGACAGTGTGGCATCTATTATGGAGCAGAAATTGCTTAAGCTCTGAGTACTGATTTAAGAATGTTGTTACAGTGACTATAGAAAGAAATTTAGCTGTTGTTGTGCTCATTAATTCTAATATTATGAAAGCCTAGTTTGTCTGTCTGTCTGTCCTTAACGCTTTATTCACACTCTGATTGGTTGTCTTGGCAGCCAATCACAATGCTTACTGAAACAACAATCTGAGTGCTCTGCACAGACTGAAGTGCTGCCGTGACAGTGGGCAGGGACTGAGAGGCCAGACGGTCTCCTTGGAGGCAGAGGGGGATGGCACTGCCATGACAACAGGAACTGAGGGGCCGGGGGAGGCCAGTGCTGCTGGCCTCGTGCCCACCCCGACTCTGGCCTCTCAGTCCCTGCTGTCATGGCAGGGCCCCCCCCCCCCAAGGACCGAGCCGCGGGGCGCGACTCTGGCCCCTCAGTCCCTGCTGTCATGGCAGCGCCATCCCCCAGCAAGGCCAGAGCGGAGGGGCGAGGCCAGCAGCATTGGCCTTTCCACCCTCTCTGGCCCTGCTCCTTGAAGGCAGATGATGGATGGCAGGGGAAACTGACCTGGACCTGATACAGCGTGGGAAGCGGGGCGGGTTGTATGCAGGGCTATGTCCCTGCCTGCCTCCCCCCATGACAGCAGGGACTGAGGGGCTGGGGAGGGTTGGCAAGTCCCTGAGGTCATGGAGATGGCCTGGGATGGCGAAGTGCCATCATGACGGAGGGGATGGAGTAGGGAGGCAAGGTCCCTGGCCCTGTTCCTTGGAGGTGGTGGTGTGGGGTGCTGGCCATGTCCCCCACCCTGCTCTGGTGCATGGGGCTGGATGCGGGGGTGGGGGGGTATGCGCATGGCACCAGAGGTAGATCAGTGGCCATGCAAGGTGTTGGGTGGCAGTGCTCTGTCCCTGCCCCACCCCAGTCATTCTTGATGGGCAGTTGGCTAGTATAATATATAGCCTGTGTGCTTTGTTACTTAATGACTTTGATTTAAAATCTGCTAGCCCCAAACTCGGGGCAATCTATTTTAAATTTTGGGATCTGGTTCAAGTGGAAAGGTTACCTCAGCTAAGAGGTCAAAGTCAATTGCTGCTCTTAAAAACGTGTCATAAGATATTTTCAACTCCCAAAGGCAAGAGGACATTAATTGACTAACCTGATTTTTTTTTTCTTCTTTTTTTAAGGTGATGCAAAAATCTGACAGTCTTGCTAGCTTCTGATGCCCTGTTTCCAGTTAGCAAGAAATAAAATATCACACCTAGTCACTTGCAAAGTAGATTACTGTATTCCAATCTGGTGTGGTGGTTGTATTTTGTTTTTATATATGATTGAACATGTTTACAATGGTTTTGTGGTTCTCATTCCAGCAACAAGTCCTCCTAAAGTAGTTACGTTTGATGAACTGATGGCTGCTGCAAGGAACTTGTCAAATTTGACACTAGCTCATGAAATTGCTGTAAATGAAAACTTCTGCATGAAACATGTTGACCTTCCTCAGAACAGGTATTTTAGGGAATCTAAAAGTAAGATCCTGAATTTTGCAGAAACTGGTTTTGGGGGTGGGATGTGGAAGAGGCAGGTCACGAGAATTCTCTCGGTAAGCTGCAGTATAGTATAGCTTATATGCTTCCTTGGACTATATGATGATCTGTGTTTTGTTTGCATGTTCCACATGAAGGATCTATGCAATATAAATTCTGCTAGTGAAAGGTAGGGCAGGGTGGTATCTTTTAGACCAGTGCTTCTCAAAGTGGTGGTCCGCGGACCAGTGCCGGTCTGCGAGCCACCAGTCACCAGTCTGCAGCGAGTTGCCAGGAAAGAGAGAAATATATTTTCAGAAGCATAACATTGATATGTCATAGCGCCACAGTTCGTACGTTCCAGCACTCCAGGTGATGTCACGTCATGCGAGGTGAGGAAAGAGAAAGAAACAGCCAGTCGCACATTTGTGTAGCACTGTTACACACAGTTGCTGCCACCGGCTGAACTGGGCACCGGTCCCTGGCCCACTGGAAAAAAAATTGCCAGTCCACCACATCAGATTGTTTGAGAAGCACTGTTTTAGACTGCCTTTTCAGAGAGGCATGAGCTTTCATAGGTTGTAGCCTACTTAATAAGATGCTATGAATGGGTTTGCAAAGAGCAGGGATAGAAGGAATATAGTAATTTAAATACAATGGATAGGAAAGGGGAAGGAACTGCTGAGGGAGGTAGAGGTTGGTTGAAGAGATCAAAAAGGATAAATAAAACAGTTAACCTGCTGAGGGACATAAGGATTATAAATGCTAGTCTGGATAATGAGTTAAGAATCTGGAGTCTCTGTTGAAGCCATACTTACCATGGTCCAGTCTGAATGATTTCTTGTTTGCAGTTTTAAAAAAACCCATTGTTTATATTACAACCTCAGTCCTGCACAACAGAGAACTGTATCGAAACTTTAAAAATAACCCTGATGATATCATACACTTGGCTGATAAAGTGTGGAAAGGGGAGGTACCACTGTTGCATGGATAAAACAGCATACTTGCAGGAAGCCAAGAGACAACTTTCCAATAGTTTTACAAACTTCTGACCAAAGGTCCCACAGAACAATACTAGAGGGAACTATAAGTTTTTAAAGATGCTACCACAGGAGAGGACTGATGCATCTACCTCCTGGGAATCTACACTAGGTACCTTTTACTTATTACCAAAGAGCCACAAACCTGGCAACCCAGTAGTGCCCATGCCAGAGAATGGTGCATATCATAGAGGGAGTTCTTGGCTACCCTTGGCTCTATCCTATTCCTGTATGCCACTGGAGCTGCCAGCTACTTCAATGACACAGATTTCCTAAAGAAACTAGGCTCCATTGACAAGCTTCCAGCAAACACCATATTAGCTACCATGGATGTCACATCTCTGTAACCAACATCCTCCATGAGGATGGATTAAAAGTTATAAGCAACCTTATCCTCAGTGATGCCACTGCTGCTGTTTCTATCATGATCTTCTGCTTTGTCCTCCCACAGCTATTTTAGGTTTGGAGACTTGCTATACCTACAAATGAATGGCACTGCTATGGGCACATGCATGCTTTCCCCCCACCAGTATCTGCCAATGTATTTGACAGATCTTGAGTCTCTCTCATCTCCCTGGTGTACCTAAGGTACATCAATGACATCTCCATCATATGGATGTCTGGGGAGGAATCTCTAGAGAAATTCCACCAGGACTTTTAATAACTTCTGCCCCTTCATCAAACTGACTCTTGATTGCTTTACCCAGCATATTCATTTCCTGAACACCACTGTGAATGTCTGCAGTGGCCACATCACCACCACATTGTATTGGAAACTTGCTGAGTGCTACACCTACCTCCGGGCCACCAGCTTTCATCCTAAGCACACCATTAGATCTGTCATCTGCAGCAGTGGTTCTCAACCTCCTTAGGCTGAAGACGCGCCTCAGAAAATACCAGCTTAGTTTTCACTCCTTTTTTACTATAGAAAAATAACAGAGTAATTCTCCTGTTGCAAAAAACTCAGAAAGACCAGAACAGGATAGAATGGTTTTAGCACTGTGAATTCCTTTTAGAAAATGCTGATGGTGTATGACACCCTGTGGCATCCTTTGAAAGGATCTGAAGGCACCCCAGGGTGCTACAGCACTCTGGTTGAGAACTATTGACCCACAGCCAAGCTTTAGATTGCAGGCATATCTGCTCTGAGCCCACTCACCAGGGTGCACACTATAGGGATCTGATATCTACACTTACAATGCAGTTGCAAGCCTCTCAAATAGATAGAGCCAGACTCAGACCCTGCTCTGACTTTCTACAATATTAATTCCATAACAAGTCCAACAGAATCCCTCTTTTTATCACCTACAGCCCCCAGTTTGGACACCTTGGGTACGTTGTTAATGATTTCTGACCTCTCCTAGAAAATTATCGCTGCAACGCAGCCTTGGGGAACAAGTCTGTCCTGGTTTACAGGCAGCCCCCCTGATCTCAAATGACATCTCTCCAGCAACAGACTGCCTAACTTCTGGTCTCACCAAGCCCCCAGGTCTTGCAATGACCTAGATGCCAGCTAAGTCTACTCATCAATACAGGCCACATCATCACTGGACCAAACATTATCTGGGGTTTATTCACTTGCTCCTCTATCAGCATAATCTGTGCAATCATCATTTTACAATGCCCACCTGCTGTCCATACTGGACAGATGGGGCAATCCCTACATGAAAAAAATGAATGGATGCCACTCTGACTTCAATTCCAGAATGTGACAAGTCTGTGGCAGAACACATTTTTGGACATTTCATCACTGACTTCAAGAGTACCTGTTCTTAAAAAAACAAAACTTCAAAAAAAATAACTCGAGTGCAGAATTGCAGAACAAGAAATCATCCATAGGCTGAGTTGTGTTTAAGTATGGTCTCAACAGAGACTCTGAATTATTATCCCCTCACCTGGACTAGCTTTTATAACGCCTGTGTCCCTTAGTGGGTTAACTGCTTTGTTTTATCCCTTTTGAACTCTTCAACCCTCCTTCTGGGGCTTAGCCATTTCCACTGTTTTCCTCCCCTTTTCCCTATCCTTTGTGTTTAAATGACTTTATTCCTTTCTGTTTAGTACCCCTGCTCTCTGCAAGCCCATTCATGGCACCTGATTTAAGTAGACTGTAGCATATGGAAGCACGTGCCTCTCTGAACAAGTTAGTTCATAAGGGCTCCAACACATGTGCAGGGAGTCTGCTGCCAGTAATTCCAGCGCGTTGTAGCAGGCTCAATTAATAGAGTCTGCCAGACCACGGAAATTAACACACTCCAGCAGCCTCCAGTGTCACATGTAGCAGTGTCCCTGTGCTGAAATATGGCGGTGGGGCGCTTTAAAGCTTGTTCAAATTCTAGTTCGTAGTGCCCATCACCATTTTTCAGCACAGGAATGCTGTTACACACGGCACTCTGGGTGCTTTTAATTAGCATGGCTCTCGGAGCTGCACTAATTAAAGCACTCCCCGTGCCTCCCAGAGCGCATGTATAAACTCCCTAAGGTGCCACTCTGCCCTGCCTTCTGCTTTAACTTGAAATTAACATGGTCAACTACCTCTTTCTGGTAGTAGAGATGGAGAACAGCTTTGTTAATGCTTCCCAGTTTAAATCCTCTGGGAAAGAGGGGAATAGGAATCAAAGTTGTACAACCAGGTATACTGTATACAGCTTTTACTACACAGTGGACTTGGTAAATAACTTTATGTATAAACTATGGACTTATCTATGCAGTCAGTGCACTGATATTGTCCTGCATGGTGTGTGAAAATTTCCAACAAGACAGGGGAAGGAAGGAAATATTTATGCAGTTAAGCTATAATTTTAAAATGTAATCTGGCGGTGCTAGTGGATCAACTTCTGTTGGCGTGCAGGGGGCCATTCAGAGGTGATGTGTCAGCTCTTTGATTGTCACAAGTGAGGTCTTGGCATGGGGTTGGCCTGGAGCCCCTGCTTTTGCATGGCCCTGAAGCTCATGGGGTGACTGCTCTCACTGCTTCTCATCCCCTTCTTTCCCCTGCTCCTGAAATCGGCAGGGATGAAGGGAAAGGGTGAACAGCAGCAGTGTTCACCCCTTGCACTCTATAGAGCTGCACAAAACTGCCTGTGGCTAAGCCCTGCTCAGTCAGAGCTCACACAGGAGTCCACCTGGACTGGGCAGAGTGTTTAGAGCTCTGTGTGCATGTGACATAGCCAAAGTGTATGTTGGGGGCGTGGGGATGGGAGGAGGGCACATTCTTGGATCTGCTACTGCTTGTATATCATTAATTATAATTACTTCTGATAAAGCCCAGTCCCCCATAGTATTAGGCCAGTGGAACTGATTTAGCGCACGCTTTGTTGGGTCAGAAATAGTGTACAAGTCCCTCATGTTAATACTTGTATAATGAATTGTCATCACCATTTTCTGCAATACTAGGATTCTCATAGGAAGACTTTTTGCTGAATTCTTAATTGCACTTGATTTATGGACTCTGGTAACCCATAGCTTAAGTGATAATGCTTGTAGATTTAAATATTCCACTTAGCAGTGTGGTGGACTCTTTTGATCAAGTTACCAGACTTGTAAAATTTCCTTTGCTTTTTTTAATTAAAACGGATTTTTTTTCCCCCTGTAGCTTGGAGGGTAGGGTGAAAAAAATTGTACACAAGGCATTTTGGGATCTTTTGGAATCAGAATTGAATGAAGATCCTCCAGAATATGAACATGCTATCAAGCTCTTTGAAGAAATTAAGGAGGCAAGTTAGTCTTTTCTCCCCCCTCCCCTTCTTTTATGCTCCTTATATTCTGAGAGCAGTCTATTCCCCTGTCCTGACATTGACTTCATCTGTACAGACCTCTTACTCAAGGGCATCTGAATGAGAGGTGTCATTTTTCATATTGAGCTACGATACTGTATTTTTAGTAGACAAAAGCAATTCTTTCCCCTGAATAAGGGAAGATCAGGCTTGTCTATATATTACTGAGTTTCTTGGTACTAATTAACTAAAAAAAATATTTACTCCTGTGGACAGCTCAAGTTTCACAAACTTTTAATTGATATCCCAGGAAACAAATTGTCAGCAGCTTCATGGAACGGCATGGTATTTCCTTCATCTGCTTCCATTTAGAATGAAATGATGCGTTGTCTTTCCAACTATTTTTTTTCTTTAAGTCAGGCTCAACAACATACACTTGAAACTTTGCAAAGTCTTTCACTTAACTTAATTTCTTACTGATAGGCAATTTGTTGGTTTTTTTTATTTTAGATTCTTCTTTCCTTTTTGACTCCTGGAGCAAACAGGATTCGAAACCAAATATGTGAGGTTCTGGATACAGATCTTATAAGACAACAAGCTGAACATAATGCTGTTGATGTTCATGGACTAGCTAGCTATGTCATCAACACTATGGGGAAATTGTGTGCTCCAGTAAGGGATGATGACATAAAACAGTTGAAAGCAACTGATGATATTGTAGAGTTGCTGAGGTTGGTGTTCAGCTATCGTTTTATTCTGTTGCTCTTATTAGGAGAAATACCACTTTGAACGAGGCAATAGAGCTAATATTAAATTGGAGCATCTAGCTCAAGTCAAGGAATTTTCTAACTGTTTTCACATGACTGATGTGTGTTTTAGATATTCAGTATCGTAGTATTTAATTTTGGAGTCCTGCTTGTCTCTTTATAAGCATATTGTTTGTAAATCCTGATTTGAAAAAAGTATTGTTCTGAAAAGTGCCTTAAAGTCATACAGTTAAAGGATTTTTATAAGTACTGTGCTTATTTGCTTGGTTTTTTTTAAAGTAAAAAGATGAGTGAGTCTCTTGAACTTTTTTTTGCATGTATTATATGCTCCACCTGAAAGTGAGACTATATTTTTGGCTCTAACATTCCCTTTAATAAATAATTTACTGCTGCTATTTGGTTAACCAGTTTGCATGTGTCCGCAAAAATCCAGCTCATCATTCCTTAAATATATTTTTGTTATAATAATAAGAGTAAACCATAATAGCCACCTATGTGAAAAATAGATATATTTACTATGAGTTGATTTATACAAAGGAGCAGATTGTTTTAATGGGAGGATAAGAAGCTATTTATACTTAAAGTTGCTGGTATTTTTAAAAATCTCATTTGGTTTTAGGCAAGATGCACTTTATATTCCTGTAAAACCTTCCTCTTTTACCGTGGCTGGCCTTAAGTAATCACCGGTGTCTTGAGTACTTAACATCTTTTTCTAAGTCTGTAATTTAAATTTTGTATCATTTTATTTTATTTCCCAAACTATTCTGTGATGCAGATCACCATGGAATGCTTTAGAATAGCCGTATTGCAGCGGTAATAGTGTCTCTTCAATACCTAGAACATGTTTCGTCTTCAAATTGGAATGCAACGAATATATGTGATTGTGTATCGGGCATTCTATTTAAAAGCATACATATTCACCGTGAGAGCTAACTTCAAACTTTTCCATGGCTCTGCATTACAAAATCTTGCCTTTTATACTTTCAGACAAATATTACATGTTCTGGATCTCATGAAAATGGATATGGTTAATTACACAATTCAGAACCTCAGACCACACCTTCAGCGTAACTTGGTAGACTATGAAAGAACAAAATTCCAAGAAATTCTCGAAGAAACGCCAAGTAAGTATTAAGCTGTTGGTATGTTCACTTAACTAATCAGGTCTGGTAGAAGCCATTAAAGCCAGCCTTTCTGTGTGTTTATAGATAATTTTTAGCGTTAGGCATGGGGAGAAAAAATAACCCCGTATAACACTGTGTAATAACAGTTGCCTGCAGGTGATTGGTTACTATGCGCAACACCAAAATGGTATAATTTCTGACATACAGCCCCTCTTACATTCAAGGAGTCAGTTTTACCTTTCATTTCATGGAACACTTTCTCCTGTACCAAAAAAAAAAGCTAATGTCTATGCATAGGTCCTGGTTTAAATCATGGACCCAGCTGACTAGTATCATAGCCCAAACATGGCAGGAGCTGCCATTTTCACACCCAGATTGTGGCACCCCCCCCAACACGCAATTCAGCCATGATGCTAGCGAATGGGGTGGGAGGGCAGACTCACCTGGCAGTGTGCCTGGTGCCTGGCAGGCCCCAGCCCAGCTGAACTCATTTGGCATGGCAGCAGCGACTCGGAGGTACCCTTAACCAGCAAAGGGTTGTGAGGTGGGCAGGGCGGCTGAAGTGCTGGTGGCCTTGATTGCTTGTGGGGGGCTGCTGCCCTTCAGCCTCACCTGCTGCTGGTGGGGGTGGAGACTGGGCACTTCACAGTAGTGAAAGCACCCCCATGGCTCCATCTTTTTTTGCAAGGAAGTGCTGTGTGATATGGCTGTTTGTTAGGCAACTCCCCACAAGCTGCTGTGCTGTAGCATTTCCTTGCAAATCACATTTTTTGTGAAAATCACTTTTTAAAAAAAAGTTACGAAATCAAGGGAAATCGCAATTTAAACCAGGCCTTACCCATGCAAATAAACATTTAGTTGACTTTTTCTTTATATAGGTTTCCCTCACTTTAAGCTATACATGCGTTCCTGGAAAACTCTGCATAACTTGAAGTTGCATAAGGGGAACCCATTTTACAATGTAACCAATAGGGATACGTTCCAAGACCTTGCCTGTACTGGCCCTCAGACTCATTTCTACCACTTTTACAAGACAATTTTGGTGTGCACCAACAGCAGACAGCACACATAAGCACAGGGCACTATCATAATGGGGATAGCAACTACAGAAATACGTGTCACAGACAATGAGCGAGGAGCACAGATCCACACAGGAGACTATATTTTGGTGTGCGTCACTCCCACAATGCACTGCACAAAGCAGCTGACTTATGGCTTCCACCACACTGATCACATAAGAGTGAATTTACCTTGCATATAACGAATTTTTGGTCATCTCATAAGAGTGAATTCGCACATACAGAACCTGCATAAAGCGAGGGAAACCTGTATGTGCCATATAACTGGTGGTAAAAAGAGGCTGGATCAGTTCCATAATAAAGCATTATGCAGTTTTCCTCTGGTGAGAAAAACTGCTTAGTTTAGATATTGCAAAGGCACCAATGAGTCATTCTGAGAGTTTGGATAAATACAGTGAAAACACTAAGAAAACAACATGTGGAAGGAGAGAGATTGTTGATGTAGTTGGCCAGTTCCTTATTGTCTTTTTTTCTGAAGGTTTGAGTTTAAATCTTTTGCTTAGGATTCCAAAGAATCTAATGTGCTGTAAAACTTATAACCTGCCCATATATTTCAGCTGGTCAGTGATGATTGCTGGGAGAGAAGGGGGCATGGGGTGTGTGAGACAAGCAGGGATTAGGGAATAGGAGTTGGTTGGGCAGTAGATGTAGCAGTCTACTACTGTTTGGTGTGTGTGTATATAGGTTTCCAGAGTGCAGTACTTTTATTTACTTATATAATTTGTCAAGTTGCTATATGCTTCCACCGAAAGCTGTACAGTAGATCTGTGCTTTTTCAAAAAAATATTTAGATGCTCTGGATCTGACAACAGAATGGATAAAGGAATCAATAAAAGATGAATTATCTTCTGTTTCCTGTGAACCATCATCCCCTGGTGCTGATAGCAGCTCTAAACCAAAACTGAGTCCTACTCTGGTGCTAAACAGTGGTTACTTGAAACTCTTACAGTGGGATTATCAAAAAACAGTTCCAGAAGTAAGTGATTTGGATAGTGCTTGTTGAATTATGCCAGCATCTCATATTTTCTTAATTTTGTAAATGCAAGTAAGTTGGAACAATTTTATCAATAAGGGCATTAGATATCATAGAACCCTTTGTAGACATCTCTTAGAAAACAATGTTTTTGGTGTCATAGTACTATGTTCCATAATGAAAGAGCGTACTCCTAGAAATGATCTGTTTTTGTCTGTGTGCATTACAGTGACATACCATTATGCTAGTGATACTATGTGTGTACACTGTCTACCATGACAAGAGAGTTTATACCAATTCCCTTTTCCCTGATACAATCGAGATAATATTTAATGACCAGATTAACTTTTCTGCAAGGTTAGCAAAACAGCAGTTCATCAGTTTATATTATGAACTATCTTCTGTTGGCTATGGACAAGTGCTAGATGTCTGTACTGAGGTTGCTGGCCTCTGTATCATTTGGTTCAACTAAATGTGGAATTTTTCTGTTATGCCAAAGGTGGCATGTGCTAGCAGGATCATACTGAAAGAGCTTCTGTCATTCTTCAGGCATCATCCATACACATGATGGGTACCTGCCATACCATCTGGAGAATCCCTCTGGGATGAGTTCTAGTCTTCATTTATTTGATACCACTAGAGGAACATTTTGTAAAACAGCATGAACTCAAATACTGGCAATAAGCAAATAATCCCTAGCTCCATTCCTTATGAAGCAGGGAAACAGAAGTATTTTAGATGGCTAAGGATTTGGCTAAGATCTTCAATGGGAAGACCCCCTGCTGCCATGTGTTCTGCTCTGATTTTGTTTTCTATACCAGGTCATACTCAAAAGTTTGACTCATCTTCAGAGCATCTGTGTTCCCTCTGGCCAATGTTGCCCCATTTGAGATTTGTCAGTGCCACTGTTCCATTGACATGAAATTTGACCACTTCCAACAGATGAATCAATTCTACAGGCAGGAGTTCATAGGCACCTGGCCCACTAACCTGGAGTGCTAAAGGCCGGGATGTTGATTAAGGACAACACCTCATCATCTTCAGAGTAAATTGGAAAGGTCACTTAGACGTCACAGCTGCTTACAGGCATGGAACCCCCATCTCCCAAACAACACTTTCCCTCCTCATGCCTCTCATTCTCCCCCACAGCCCTTGCTTCCCAGCCCAGCTGGAGGGGCTCCCAGCTGCCAGGGCAAATACTCGGGTCCACAACCCCCTGCCCCTGGTCCTCCCTGCTGCAGGGGGAGTGGGGCTGGCTCTCTACCATGGTGCACAGTCCCAAGTGGGGCGGGGGGGACCTGTGCCCCCCAGATCTGTGTGCAGGACAGGCACAGGCTGCGGGCATGGGCTCCCAACTTGCTGTCCTCCCCCCGGGGCCTGCACAGCCCACCGGGTGTGACCTGGCGCGGTAGGGCACAGCAGGGCTGTGCAGAGAAGTTGCTTGCCTCTGGGAGTTCCCCGCTGCCCTGGCAATGTTCCTTCTGTGCGCAGGGCTGCAGTGAGGGCAGCAGCGCAGGGTTGTTCTCAGAGCAGTCCCACATGCAGGAGGCTCATTGCCAGAGGAGTGTGGAGCTCTCCGTGTGGCCCCGCTGTGCCCTGGTGCACTGGGTCACGCCTGCTGGGCTGCAGAAGTCCCAAGGGAAGGAAGCAAGGTGGCAGGACACAACGGTGCTGTGCACTTTGCACTGCCCTGGCAATGCGCCTCCTGTGTGCAGGGCTGCTTTGAGGGGTGCAGTCCTGTGCAACTGCCCTTACTGCAGCCCTGCGTGCAGGAGACACATTGCCAGGGCAGCAGGGAGCTCCCAGCAGCAAGCATCTTCTCTGTGCGGCCCCGCTGTGTCCTGCCGTGTTGGGCTGCGCCCACTGGGATGCAGAGGTCCCGGTGGAGGGCAACAGGGTAGGAGCCCACAGCCCATGCCTGCCCTGCACACAGATCTAGGGGATTTGGGTCCCCCCGGCCTCCCTCAGGAGTGTGTGCTATGGCATGGAGCCAGCCGCCCCGCCCCCCCCCCAGCCTCCCGACAAGCCCCTCCCACCCCCCCCCCCACCCTACCGACAAGCCTCCTGGGGCCCCATCCCACTCCCTGCTGGGGCCCTGCAGCTGTGTGTTGTGGCCACTAGCCCTACACTAGCCCCACACAACTCCCTGGCTGGGCAGCAGCCCCATCCCTGCCCAGCTCCCTCTCTGTGTGGACTTCAATCCCCATCTTCCCCCTTTCCTGCCCAGCTTAGTTGCGGGAGCTGCTCTTGGGCTGCCTGGGGCCATATGCATGTAGAAGCACGTGGTGTCCTCTGTCTCACTGCCCTCCTCGTGCTCTCTCCCAGCTCCCTGCATGTTGGAACTCTGCCAACTTGCAGGGAGCTCATTGCAAAACTGAAAAATCCACAAGTTTCTCTGATAAAACGAGAAATCCACATTTGCCTCTGGCAAAAGGTAAAGTTTGCTGTTTACTCTGGTTTTTCTGTGGGAAACAGAAAACCCAGGTTCCCAGTGATTAGGTATCCTGCAGGCCTTAACTTTTGGGGGAAGCACTTCAGTTCTGAAGTGGTGGGGTTCAGTATAAGAACCAACTGAACAATCTTGTTACAGTGACAAAAAGATGAAGCTTGTAAAATATTTGCTGCAAAATCTAGACATTGATGCCTAGAAATGCTAGAGAACTTGCATGATACTATGCATATTATTTTGTGCATCCACAACAGCGGTGTTAAACTCATCTGGCCCACAGCTGTGGGGCTGGTCTGCAGGCCAGATGGGGCTCAGCTCCACATGCCAGAGCTAGCCTGCAGGGCTGGGCTGGGCTGGTGCAGGTGTTGCATGCAGCACATGCCCTGGACTGACTTCACTTGTTACTTGTAGCATCAGCTCCAGCCCTGTGCATTGCATGCAGCATGTGCTGGCTCTGGCCCTGCACACAGTGCATGGGGCCAGTCTGGAGTGCATGGTACATGTGGCGCACAGGGCGAGTCTGGAGTGCACACTGCATGTCCAGTGCAGAACTGTAGGACCAGCCCTAGATCTAGCACACAGGACTTACCTGACATGGGTGCTGCACTCTGTATGCAACCCAGGCTGGCCACATATCCCATGTACAGCATGCACTGGCTCCATTCCTCCATGCTGTGTGCAGCCTGTGCCAGATGCACTCTGCATATGGCATGTGGGGCTGGGGCCAGTATGTGCTGTATGCAGCGTACCAGTCTGAGACCTACAGGAAGTTCTGTGGACTGGGTGATAGGGCTCCATGGGCCGGATCTTTGACACCACTGATCTACAAGGTAGAGTTCTTATGTCATATTTATAAATAGTTCTGTATATCAGATAGTCACCTCTTCCCTATGTGAGTGAATAACTGATCACTAGCCTGACTTCTTCTCTCCGCACTGAGAAATTGACTATCCACTGCTTCCTTCCACTGACATTCACTAGAACTAGACGTGTTCAGTCACTCTGAATATTAGGATGATTGGGCAGGATCCTGTGCTCAGAACTTGCAGTATGGGGATGGAAGGAGTGGGAGGGACCATAATATGGACACCCTAGTTCATAGAGTTGCCAGAGATCAGGAGACTGTTACCACAGCGTGAAGTGGCAACTTCCTGTGTCTGTTCTTTGGGACAAAGAGCACCCAAGGGATTCATTTGAAGGCAGTCATATAACTGTTCCCTCTAGTTTGTGTATTAAGGGAATCTGTTTCCAACTGTGTTCAGGACTTATAGGTGCCTTTGTACCATGCAGACCTTATCTGGCATAAAGCAGCCTGCTACTGGTGAGAACTTTGCCTGCAAAGTGTTCCATTTCTTGATATAACTGTGGGGTTTTTTCTTTTTTCAAATTATTTAAATTTCTTTTTAAATGTAGTTCTATAGTGCATGCGGTCTGCTACTGTGTATGCAAGGAGATGAGAGTAATTGCTGTGTATTTTCAGACTCTTTTTTTTTTGTGAGTATTTACATGTTTTAATCAGCATTGCATTAAAGTTCCACACACATGCTTCCAGTAATAGTGTATTAGCCGCTTGGGTCTCAATTTAGTGTAACTTACAATAATTGATACTATTATTTCAATTCTAGACGCTAGTGACCGATGAAGCTCGCCTTCAGGAGTTGAAGGAAAAGCTGAATCAGTTGAAAATTATAGCCTGTGTATATCTCATAACAAACAATATACTGGGGGCAACGATTGTAGGTCTACCGGATTTTCCTGACAAACTAAAAAGGATTTCAGCTGCTCTGCTTGAAGGAATGAACACAAAGTAAGGTTTGGTTTCTCACCTCTTTCTTTCCTTATAGGAAATAACCTGGTGGTTCTCAAAACAACTTTATAGTGTTTTTTATTAAACGGTTTAAGTGATGTAATACATGAACCTTATTGCTGATTGGATTACACTAAATCTTAATAACCTACATGTTTTGTATCAGTTTAAACCAGGGGTGGGCAAAATATGGTCCATGGGCCAGTTCCGGCCTGCCCACTGATTGGATCTGGCCTGCAGGCAGGTGCCCACCAATTGATTGCATCCAGCCCGCAGTGCTCGCGCCTGGGGCCACTGATGGCCCTGGCCAGCATGTACAGTATGTGCAGCTTCCTGGCAAGGCTGCTCCCAGTGTGGCTGCAGTTTCCCAGGTACTAGTCAGTAGGGGTGTGCAAAATGGGTCATATTCAATTCGGATTCGTCCCGAATCGGAGACAGTGGTTCGATTTGTTGATTCAAATCACTGTCCCTGATTTGTTTCGGCCGAATCTGAATCTGAAGATTCGATGCTGATTCAGAGTATCAGCAATTTGACCATAGACACAGCTTTAAATGTTTTTTCTACATACTTTGAGGTACCAGGCACCATCTCGTGAACACTGAGATGGTGGGGCGGATAAAGCACCTGACAGGAGCATGGTTCCCCCCTCCTGTGTGCTCATCAGCGAACCCGAAAGTAGACCAGAAGTACTTTCAGTCCACTTCTCCCCATGTGCTCAGCGGCAGATCTGGGTGTCCCCACACCCCCCCAGCTTGGTGATCGGCCACAGGGGGACCCCAGGTGCTCACCCCAGACCCAGGAGACACCAGTCACCAAGCTGGAGGAGTGTGGGGGGCCCCCCAGTGAGCTCCCCGGTGGACCTGGAAGTGGACCAGAACTGCTTCTGATCCACTTCTGGGTCTGCTGCTGAACGCACCGGGGACTCCCGTGGGATGCTCTATCTGCCCCAGCATCAGCATTGATACCTTGAGGTATGTAGAAAAAATGTTTAAAGCTGTCTATGTCCGGATCGCTGAATCTCTCCGAATTGATTCAGAGGGTTCCAATTTGATTTGGAGAGATTAAACGGTCTCTTGATTTGATTTGGATTTGGAGATTCAACCACTGAATCAGGCCAAATCTCCACCATATTGAATCGGGGACCAAAACTTCGCACAGCCCTACTGGTCAGCTCCTGCCTCCAGCAGCTATTCCTCCTCCTCCTGCCCCTGTTACACCACTCTGGTTAGTTAGGAATGTGGGGATGTGTGTTGAACACCATACACCCAGCCGGGGGGGGAGGGCTGTAGCTTGGCAGCTCCTGCTCCAGTGTGCAGGGCTCCAGCTCCAGTTCCTGGCAGTATTCCACCCACTCAGTTGCCCACAGGTGCCTGCCCAGCACTCCAGGTGGGCAGAGTGGATGGAAGGCAGGCTGAAGCTGGAGCCCTGTGTGCTGGGGCTGGAGCCACCTGGCTGTAGCTTCTCCCTTCCCTGCCTAGCTGGGCATTTTCTGCCTGGCACATATCCCCACTGCTTCCATGCATTACCTATCCAGAGTGGCACAGCAAGGGGAGGAGGAGGAACAGCTGGAGGTAGAGAAAACCAAGTAGTACTCAGGTGGCTGTGGCAGCAGCTCTGCCAGGAAGCTGCATGCATGGGCCAGGGCTAGGTTGGTGCTGTCTGTGCATAGGGTGGGAGTACAGCACAGGCATGGGCCAGATGGGGGAGGGATGGACCGTACATGCCAGGGCAAGCTCTGCAAGTGCCTCCTGCCCCCTTCCCCTCACCCCCAGCCAGCTCCAAGACCTAGCGCACAGGCAGCCCCTCCCACATGCACGCACATCCATATGCCCACCCTTTACCTACACCCACATCCCCCCACACCCTATACAAGAGTAAGACTTTATTTTGAGCTATTATATAATTGTCTTTATATACACTATTCAGAGAAACATAAATCGGGACAAACATTATTTTTTGAAATACCATTTTAAAATGTTATAGTAGATGTTTGATTTTTTTTTTTTTTTTTTTTTAAGTATAAGTTTTGTTTTTTAACTTTGTTAAAATGGTATCTTCTGAAAGATTGTGTGTGGCCCTTGACAGCTCACTAAAACTTATTAAGTGGCCCTCCAGTGGAAATAATTGCCCACCCCTAACTTAAATGCATATCAAAAGCCCCCCACCAACTGCTGAATGCGGCCCCCCCACACACTCCCTGTGTGGGTCCTATGTTGTCACCCTCTGATCTAGATAGTCTGTAATATTCATGCAGTCCCTGGCAACTTGGCTGAAGCTGCCACTTCACTACAAATTGTGTGTGTGTGTGTGTGTCTGTGCGCACGCGCGCATGTGCACATGTGTTGAGAGACTGTCCTTAAATTTAATGTGTCTTTAAGGCACTAAACTTAAGACATGATTAACTAGTTAATCATATCTTAAGTTGTTACCCAGTCACGTTAATGCAATTGATGACATGATAAAACAAGGAATAAACCACAAAATAATTATTAAAAAAAAAAAAAGTATAATAACTGTTGCTGGTTCCTATCATGCCATTAACTGAATGTGTGGTCAGGCTGGGAGTCCCAGTTATGGGGTATGCCCCTGCAGCTGGGAGCCTTGTCAGATGATGTGGGTCCCAACCATGCGAGCTTCCTGGTGCAGGGGGAACCTGGGATTGTGATCCTGGGCTCCGGGATCACTGGCAGTTTTGTGTAACTGGATCTGATGCTGGACCCCACATTCATGCCTCCTGCCAAGCATGTGGCATAGCAGGAAGCACAATTGTGGAGATCCCATGTCGGATCCCATTGTACCTTCACTTGCACATCTGCAAGGGGCCTAAGAGACTGAAACAAGTTTCCATTCCCGGTAACTAGGGACCAACTCAAATCACAGAAATCAGAAATCAGGCGATGTCTCTGAAATCCATGGGGGGAAACTTAACTGAAATTACTGGCTCCCCAGTGGAAGCCAGCAGTCCTCACACCTGCTGAAGACCAGCCACGCAGCCCACTGAGTGGGGAGGAGGGCTGCTCGCTTGAAGCAGAGCAGGCAAGATGGCTGCTGCTCCAACCCCTTTCCACTGATTGGTAGAGAGGGCTGCCTGTCATGTGGCCCCACCCCTCTCCGCCAACTAGTGGCAAGGGGCAGGGCCACATGTCAGACAGGCCTTGTAGCCAATCAGTGGCAAACAGCAGGGCTGGATGATGGGCAGCCCTCAACCAATCAGAGACAGGGGGAGGGGCCACTTGGCCCCTTAGCCAATCAGAGATGTGTGTGGAGCAGGGGGGCACCATAATAAGCCCAGGAAGGTGGCCACTGGCCCCACTATCTGCCCACAAAATCAGCCACCTGCCTCCAGGAGTTGGATAGAGCCCTACTGATAACACACACCATCTGAGAACAGTTGTTGTAACAACTGTCAGTCATAGGATAATCTGAACAGTGCATCCAGGTTCTGTTTAAGTATATTTTAAATACTATAGTCCATATCCAGGACAGAGTTTATGCATATGCTTAAAGTCCAGCATGTGAATTAGTTATTTTGAAGCCATTCGAACAAGTAATCTGTTAAAAAAGCTTTTTTGACTTGCATCCCTGCTAATGGGAGTTCTGGTTGTGTCTATCTGTAAAAGCTGGTGAGCAAGTTAGCAAAAATCTTTCTGGGTATCTTCTTTTACTGGAAAAGGTAACTTTCAATTAAAATTACCAAAGAAAAAGTTTTGTGGGAAGCGAGGACAGAGTCAAAATAGCTTTGGAACAAATGTTACAAGTCTGTTAAAACTAAACACTATTTTCTCTTTCTCCAGAACATTCGATTTGAAAGAGTCTTTGAATGGTATTGGTATGCAGATTTGCATTGAAGTAAACAGGTCCCTAACTGAGAGAGACTTCCCCACACTAAATACAGAAATGCAGAATAACCTAGTGGGTCAAATCTGTAGCATCACTCAGGAAGAAAATCCCATCAGCTCCTTGATTGGTTTGTATAACAGAAATTCTCTCATATGCATCTGTGTACATTTTTTTAGGTTTGGTTAATTGCCTGCTCAATTAAAAAATGTGAAAGTTAAACGTTGTCTTTTTTAATAAAAGACAATTACATTATTTTTCTTACCTCAAGTTAGGTACTGAATCAGTTTAAAAAAAAAAAAAGACTTTTTTTTGCTTCTTTAGCTTAGGTGAAGACAATCTTCTGGAAATTTGCAGGTTGGAAACCAAAATTGGAAAGACTTTTCAGAAATATGAGCAGAGTGCTTGCAATGCTTAAGGACATCTCAGAACAAATGAAGAAGTGAATGCTAGGATTTCGGAAAGGATTTTTTTTTTGCAAGGCGGGGGGGAGGGGGGTGGCGTGTTATCCATACCTGGGACACACCAGCTAAGGATCTGTCCTCATAACCCAGGATTAATTTAGTCATCACTTTAGCTTTGCAGTCCACTTGACAATGAGTACTAAAAAGTATGTTGTAACGGTTATTTCCACAGATGGGGGCGAGAAGGAGTGACACTTTTTTTCCTAATTTTTTAGCCTTGGGGATGAGTTAAAGAGGAGATACAGGGCTCTGTGTGTGTTTGTGCGTGCACATACGGCATGTTTTGTAAGGCAGTTATGGCACGACTTCAGGTATTCATGTCTATATTTTATGTTGTGAACGTGCTTATCTTTTTTCAGATAAACGAATTCAGCTGTACCTGAAGAGCTTACTTACTCTTCCTGTTCCTCACAAATGTATGCCTACTATGCCAGGAGGCCTTTCTGTGATTCAAGCAGAGATCGAGTCTATTGGATCCCAGTACACAAACATTGTAAACTTTAATAAGCAAGTATATGGGCCATTCTATGCAAATATTCTCCGAAAGTTGCTTTTCTGTGAAGCACCAATGGGAAAAGTAGAAACTGAAGCATCTACTAATTGAAAAATACTCTGACTTGATATGGTAACCAATCACTTTCCCTTCGCCGTATTTATAATAAAGATATTGTGACCTCTCTCTTGCCTCAGTGCACATAACTGGTGCTGGTGACTTTTAAGGAGAGATGTATATCAAAAGGAGAACAAAATCCTGTTAGGTGTACGCAGGTAAAGTTTTTCCAAATTCATTGGAAATTAATTTGATACATATATATATTTTAATAGACTGCATCTATTTGTAATAGATTGTAACATTTATTGTACCAACTATCATCAATTTCATCTTCCAAAACAAACCTTTTTTGACTTTCAGTGTAGAGGATTTGACCGAGTGGGGGACTGGGGAGGGTGGTTTTCTTTGCTACTATTGGTGTAATTGACAGGATTCTTAATAGTGTGTTTTTGTTTTGTTTTGGGGTTTTTGTTTTGTTTTTAAAAACAATATGTTACATGTACTGGTGCAATTATGAGATGACACAGTACACATTTGAGCTACAAATGTACTTTCATTGCTTTATTACTTATGGCACACTATGCAGATGAATATGAATCAGTTCTTGAAAACACTGAGATAAGAGAACATGGTGTAACTGAACTTGCAACAAAATAATTTGCATCGGGCTAAATCTTGGTACTGTTACAGTTCTTAAGATGAGAATTTGGCTTACTTTTGCTTTCAGAAATGCCGGTATTACTATAAGCTGCTTTAATGTAGCAGTTACACAAAGTCCATACTATTTCTGTAAAAGGAAAACATTCAGAATTTGTCAACTATAATCTAGGCATTAAAGGTAAAGGCCTTGCAAAAATATTTTTGCATGTGATTTTTAGCAACATTTTGTTGTCTAATAAAGGCTAATATTGTCCTTTATTTTAAACAGGTGGAGGCCTAACTTAGTTTTGATGTTTTGTATAGGACCTCAGCCTTCGTTATGGGGTGCTAAGTACCTGTGAGTTGGGGGCCTTACAAGCTTCTGACCTCAAGTGTTTTTAAGTATACAAGTTGTTGGAGTTCAGTAGAACAACTTAAAGCAGCTGGATAAGTGTTGTGCTGGATTGGGTCATACATTTTCAAAAAAGTTTGGTTTTTGTTTTTTTGTTTGGAGTACTTCAGGTTTTAGATCTTGAATGAGGAATCCAAAATTGCCTGTCACTTATAAAAACTTAAACCAGAAGTGACTAACATTGCTGTTTTTAGATTAATCCCACAGCCTGCCAGCAGACATAATCAAAAGACTACTTGAAACAATGGAAATACTTCTATTGTTGCAAATGGACTTCAAGACCTATCCCAATGCATAACTTCCATTGAAGACCATAGGTGTCTTGTATGAAGGAATTAAATAGGATTGAAACCTGTGGTGTAGGAGTGTCTAAAAGTTTAGATATTGCAAATATATTTTAAATATTATTTCAAATGTATTGGATATAGTAATGCTTAAATGTTTAGTGTAAAATGGTCTTTAGCAGATTGAATCATAGCTAACTCAATAATATATCATTACAGGATTTATAATGTATAGTATTTTAAACTTTACATAGTATATTGGTCCCCTTTTTTAAATGTAAAAAAATTAGAAACTTTCAGCTGGTACAAACTTTTAGTTTTTTTTGTGTTTTTACTGTTTTATTGTGCAACAATATATTGTCACTTAAAATCTTTGCCCATGTGCTATGCGCACAGATTTTTATAGTACATCTTGTATGTCTGTCATGAAAGTTGAAAAATGACTGGGCATTAATAGCACTGTGGTTATATAGTCAAATCAGCTTTTAAAAAAATTATGTAAATTCTTTTTACCAAGAAAATTGTATGTTAGAGAGGTGTTTCTCAAACTGAGGCTTCCCTTCCCACAAAAGACAAAGCAGGAACTTTACATCCCTCTTCTTCCTTGAAGTATACATGTAGGTTAAAGTAAGAGCAGAAGTGCTGAAAACAGCCTTTTTAAAAAGAGATGCCTCCCGCACTTGCCTTCAGCTGTATGCCTTGTCCAAGATGTTGCACAAAATAGATAAGCATATAATTTAGGGAAATCTATTGATGAAAGTTTGAGAAACCTGAAATTTGAAAGGAGCCCTGAAGAAATATGCATCTAAACTTAAGATTTGGAGGTCAAAAAGGCAGGAGGAGGAGGGAAATATACCAAGCATCAGATGCTCTATGGTAACTTCTCACATACCTGCTCTTACCTATGGCAAATGAAAGCTAAACCATAGGAAGAAACATGCATACAGGGAGCTGTTGCATGGTAAATTCTAGGCTGTTTTTACTGCCTGGGAACTAGTTCATGTGTCCATAGCCTTTGAGTGCAACAAGCATGCCAGTGAAGTAACATATAATTGTCTTGATGAATGAGACTTAACTATGTAATTCACAAGCTTTAAGAGAAGAATGAATACTGAAAAAGTTAATGAGGAATTCTAAATTTAGGAAATCAAACAGGATATTTATTATAAACTATTTTAAAGTTGACCTTTGGTCCTAAAGAAAACTATAAATATTTATAAGAGGCAATTTTTTATCATAGTATTTTCTTACTAACTTTTCTAGTGTAAATAAGAAAAATCTCTTGTGGCAATATCAGTTGAAATATGTTTCAAACTACGTACAGGATTCTAAACTACCTGGGGAAACGTTTGCACTGTAACTTCCACTATACAATGAGGATTGACTAAACATTTTTGTAACCACTGAAGTGATTTGAAAGGGGCATTTTTATAGCATGGCATAAGTTAAAGCAAATACTTCATGTATTGTAATTATTGGTGTTTAATACTTTGGATATGGACCTCACATCTGACCTTTCATCTGTTGCGTGCCATTTTTGCTAACATGGCTTAATTATATTTGCTTCCACTCTGAATTTGTCTTGGTGAAAATAAGACAAATGTTATGTAACAGCTTTATTAAATGAAACAAATATTTGTAAGATTTTTGTATGCATTAAATTCTGTTTGTGCTAGCACTTTTGTGAGCAGTCATTCATGCACACTGTTTCTGTTAAATGTCTGAGAAATTGATTACAAAACTCTTCTTCCCCCACCCATGTCCCTCCCAGTATAGAGAACGCATGCTGATGCATGTGAAGGAAAAGGATAAACCCAAAAATGAAGTCTACAATTAAGAAAACAGCTGTTGTTTTGAAATTGTTTATCTTGGTGGAGGAGTGTTGGCAGCAGAACAAATGTGTTGGTTGGTTTTTTGTTTGTTTGTGTTTTATCTATTTTATTCCTTGGTCTATTTTGATTTAATGAAGTTCATGGTTTTGAAACGAGCCTTAAATAATTTACACAAACCTCACGACAAAATAACATCTGATGAAGTGATAGCTCAGAACTTCCACAAAACCCAGAAAATTTGCATTTTGTTCAAAACCATTTTGGTCACGTAGCAGACATGAATGCAATTGTGTCAGCCTCATAAGTGAAGGCTTGTGTTGTCTTTTAATTTACAAGGCTGATTCCTATTTCCTATTCCCATTATTAATATCAAAAACAAAAGGGAGCTAGTGCTAGACCTAAAACTATTCAAGACATATTAAGATGTCCAGGGGATGAAAGATCTCCTTACTAAATTGGACTGATATTTTTTTAATAAGAGCTATAACCAATGGTAGAGAAAAATGGATATTGGGTGAATGTAGCATTTCTTGTGCTACACCAAGAACATCTAGTAAAACTGAGAGGCTGCATATTCAAAGTGACTTTTACCTATGCATAATAAATGCTTGGGACTTATTGCCACTAGATTCTGAGTCCAAGGCCTGGACCTACAAATCTGTTTAGGTGCCCAACTCCCAGTGACATGTAATTTCTAATACAGGCATGTTCTGGGAGACTGTCCCTATCCTTGAGAAGGGCTTATTGCCTTCAACTGGTTGTTAGGCTCAATCATGGCAGAAGTTGTACGGTACTAACAGGCTAAATCCATGCAAATTCTTTATTTTAATAATGCCAATACTACCCCTTTTAAATATGATAGACCTAGGGGAAACCTAGCACAGCAACCTGGAGCTAGGCCACTAAGGAAGGGTGACAGTGGGAATTATATGCTTAACTGCTGTTGTGGCTAGTCCTGAGTTCGTAGGTTTCAAAGAAGGATTGCACTTTTATATAGACTATAACGGGTGGGTAAAATATGGCCCGTGGGCCAGATTCAGCCTGCCAGGCTGTTCTATCCGGCCCAAGGGGCCCCCCCAAAATTTAGAAAACTAGTATGTACCCCTGGCTGCCTGTCAAAATGACAAGGTGAAAGCAGTAGCAGGACCTAGGAGCCGCTGCAGCAGCAAAGCCCGCCCAGCTCTGCTCTTCCCCCTTCCTCCCCCCGCACCCTGGCCCCAACTAGAAGCATCTGCCTAGCAGAGCCTTCTGGCTTGGCAGCCCTGGGGCTGTTCCCTCATCCTGGTGCAACTTAGCTAGGATGTGGCAGGAAGGGGAGAACTGCCAGCAATTGCCCAAGTTCGTGGAGCTAGGCCAGCTGTTGCAACCTGCAGTCCCGGTGGTGGAACTGGGAACCATGTGCTGGACTGGCCAGTGGCTGGGCGCGCGAGCAGGGAAAAGTGGCAGCGGCATGCAGGGAAATGGCAGTTGCAGTAGCGGCAGATGGGGAGAGTGGCAGTGTGCGGGAGTGCAGTGACAGATGGGTGGCAGTGCAGGGTCTGCACTGGTGCCCTGGGGCTAGAGCCAGTGGGGACTTGGGGTTGGGTGGTAGGAGTGGGGGGCCTGGGCTGGCTCTCCCTGTTGGCGCCGCCTAGCCCAGCTCCATAGAGTTCCTGCCAACCTGCACCCCATGCTTCTGCTGCCCTTCCCTGGGCCCCTGCCAGCCCTGGCACCGGGGCACTGGTTTGGGCTCCACACTCCTGCTTGGCTGTTGCTGCGCCCCTGCCTGCAACTGCTGCTTCTCCCACCACTCTGCCTGTCTGCTGGCTGCTTTGGCACCACGTGGTTCCTGGCTGCATTGTTGGACCACAGGACACAGCAGGAGCGGGCCTAGCCTGGCCCCCACAGTTCCCGGCTGGCTCTGCAGTACCAGCTGGGCTGGGCTGGCTCCTGCTGTGTTCTGCAGATTTGGCCGTGCAACTGGGAACCACGTGGTGTTGGAGCAGCCGGTGGTGGGGGAGCAGGAGCAGCAATAGCAGGGAGTTAGGGAAGTAATGGGAGAAAGGCAGCAGGGGTGGGGGAGGGTGTGGGGAAGTGGCTGTGACTGGGCGGGCAGGAGTACAAGGCCCGTGCTTGTGCCCCGGGGCCAGGGGCGGTGGGAGTGCTGAGCCCAGCCTGGTAGGAGCACTGGTAGGGCCTTCACCTGCCAGGGGCCCCGAGGCCTCATGGCTTGCTCAGCCCCCCCCCACACCTACCCACCCCCACAAACCCCATGCACATACAGCCTCCCACAAACCTATACTACTCAATATACAAGGGTAAGACTTAATTTTAAGCTATTATACTATCACTTCTATGTACACTACACAAACACAAGTAAATCAGGACAAAATATTTTTTTAATCAAATTAATGTTTGACTTTTAGAATATAATTTGGTATTTTTCTGGTTCCAAGATGGCACCCCCCCTTCCCAAAAGGAGTATTTCTGGGGGAAAGGGGAGGGACTTCTGGTGGCAAAGGTCAGGGATTAGGGGGTGGGACTTCCAGTCCCAAAATGGTGACCAAGGGGGCAGGGCACCTGTCAAGGGGTGGGGCTGTCTATGCAGGCCTTGACAGCTTGCCAAAACTGTAAGGAGCCCTCCAGCCAAGTAATTGCACACCCCTGAATTATAAGAACAATTATAGGTAAATAAAGTTGATTAAAACATTGGGGCATAAATCCTCATCCTTCAGAGTACCGGGTGAAGCAATAACTGCACGAAGTTAAGAAGAAACTCCTCCTTGTCCATTCAATAGATTATGATAGGTTTTCATTATGGGTGGTTGTTTTTTTGTTTCCTTTGTACTTGGTGCTGGCCATTAACAGCCACCAGACATGTTTCCAAAGTAATGAACCAGTGACTTAATGGTACGGCTGCCGCTGTAGAAGTGCGAAGTGTGGTTATTAATTCTGCCTCCCATTCCTTTATGACAAGTAGGGTGCTTTATGTAAAAAAAAAAAAAAAAAAAAAAAAGTCTCCAGCCTGTTCCTAACAGTTAAGTGGTACTTAATTATTAAGCACAAACTTTAATATAAATGGAGCACTAAGATTTTATTGTGAATCTTGCTACCTTTAAACTGCCACTTGAATCACCTGAAAAGCCCCCTCCCTGCAGAAAGAGGGAGGGTCACTAGTTTGCATGTGCTCTGAGGTTTCCTTTTGACACTCCTGGCTCTACCTGTGCAGCTGATACTCATTCCTCTCTGCTCCCATCTCCCCAGTTCCAGTGTAAGGAGTGACCTAGAAACCACTATTCAAAGATGAAGCAGAAGAGAATGTTATGTGATGAATGCCCATCTGCAATGATAAGGAGGAGACAGTCTTAGATAAAGGGGGCTTGAAAACAAAATAAGAAACAGAGTACTGGGTTATAGGGCTCATTAAAATACTAAAAATCACGCCCCTAGGTGGGGAAAAAGTATGCTAATGAAACATACATGTATGTAAATGAGATACCTGGCTAAAACACAGGTATAGAGACATGCTCAGTAAAGAACTCCTTGCGTCACTCCTTTATAACCAATCAGCAAACAAGGATGCTTATGAAGGTTCAAAAACTCCTGTATAAAAGATGCTTAGAAATAGTAACTGGTGTGCTTGTTACGTGAAATTATTCCGCTCGCACCTTTTATTGCTAGCAATAAACCTTCTTTGTACTTTCACCCCTGGTATCTTTATTGGCCTTTGCATACCGGGCACGATCCCAGACTTGAGCTGGGGCACAACACCAGTGGTGGGATCTTGAGGAGGCTCCAGAGCTGCAGCCTTCGCTGAGGACAGGGTGGCCCACAAGTACTCAGAAACTTTCGGTTCTACCTCTACCACAAATATCCTGGGCAAATCCCCCGCTCCTATTTACGTGCGATGGTAGGGGTGGCACAGGTAGCCTGGGTGTGTAGCATGTAGCACAGTGGAGGGCAGAGGAGGAAGCAGAAAGCTAAGCAGCAAATCAGGCAGGGAGCAGGAGTTTGGGCAGAAAGGAAGAGTAGAGAAGGGAGGCAATGTTTGTAGGGG